TTCAGTTAATGGCAGGGAAGATACCAAAACTGGGAGATGGGGATTAACTCCCATGGTAAAACCCCACCTACAGAGCTGCCCCAGCCCAGGAAGGACCTGGAGCTGCTGGAGAGAGTCCAGAGGAGGCCACAGAGATGCTCCAAGGGCTGGAGCCAGGCTGGGAGAGCTGGAGGTATTCACCTGGAGAGGAGAAGCCTCCAGGGACACCTCAGGGCCCCTTTCAGGGCCTAAAGGGGCTCCAGGAGAGCTGGAGATGGACTGGGGACAAGGGATGGAGGGACAGGACACAGGGAATGGCTCCCACTGCCAGAGGGCAGGGATGGATGGGATATTGGGCAGGAATTGTTCCCTGGCAGGGTGGGCAGGCCCTGGCACAGGGTGCCCAGAGCAGCTGGGACTGCCCCTGGATCCCTGGCAGTGCCCAAGGCCAGGGTGGAAGGGGTTTGGAGCAGCCTGGAATAGTGGGAGGTGTCCCTGCCATGGCAGGGGGAGGAATGAGGTGAACTTTAAGGTCCCTTTCCATGAAAACATTCTGTGATTCTGTGCCTGGAGAGCTGCAGCAGAGAGCAGCTGGAGATGTGTGAGCAAGAGTTAAGCATGTTTTTGCATGTAGATTTTTGTTTGTAAGCAGAGCTCCTTCACTCTGGAATTATTGGTTATTGATGGAGCTGCATCCTGCAATGCTATTTTAATAACACTGAGGAAGCACTTGGAAACATCCAACAGATCAAACCCCTGTAACAAAGCTCCTGCAAGGGCTCCTCAGACGGTTCCTGCCCCAAAGGGCAGCACTCCCTATGTGGGGAAAGAGTGGGAGGGAGGGAGAGTCCTTCCTTAAACCACTGAATGCCTCCACACACGCTCCTGCATCCCAGCACTGCTCCTCACCCACAGGCACATGCAGCTTCGTTTTCCTGTCTAGAGTGAACTTTTAAGGAAAAGTATTCAGGGACAAAAAGCAACTGTCCCCCTGATTCTTCTACAAGGCCCTGACCCATGGCTGCGCCTCGACCACCTGCTCGGGCTGACATTCACGGAGCTGAGGCTGGCAGAGGCTTGGGCACATTCTAGCCAACTCCAAATGCCAGTTTTGTTTTCTGGAGACACCATTTTCCTGTGTTTTACACAGTCTTACCCTCTGTTACTGAAAAAAGGTCTGTGTGTGATTCAAGGTCAATCTACTGCACAAAGGACTTGGTTTCCTGTTATCAAGCCCAGATTTTCATCAGAGTAAACATCCCCTCGCTGCACGTCCTGTAGAGAAACACAAGTAGCATGAGCAGAATGTAGCATGACATGCTTGGAAAAGAAACCAGTACCTTGTATCTGCCTCCCACATCCCCCTTCTCCCTCTGGTGTTTGCCCAAAGCCCTCCAGGGCAGGGCTGGGTGCTTTTCTTATAAACAGCCATGAACCTTCCTGAAGGACATTAAATCATAGAACTGGGGAATGGTTTGGATGAGAAGGGACCCTAAAGCCCATCTCATTCCACCCCCTGCCATGGGCAGGGACACCTTCCACTACCCCAGGTTGCTCCAGGCCCTGTACAGCCTGGCCTTGGACAGGGATGTGAGTGTTGAATCCACTGATCACAGCCAGAGTATTTGCATTCCTATTTTTCCAGTGTAAAGCCAGCTCCAGAGCCAGGTACTCACCCCATCAGCCAATCGATTCTGCATTAGAACAGTGGGTCATTGATGCTCTGCGAAACACCAAACAGGCCCGTCTGGCGCATGGACACCCGGGGCGGTGTTTCCTATGGAAAACTGTCAGCCTTCGGAATCTCAGCCTCCGCTTAAAGGAAAGATCTACATGCCAACCAGACTTAAATTAGCCTTGGAAACCAATTCTGGAAAATGTGCCAACTCAGATGCAAATCCCTCTTACTTACCTCGTGATGACAACAAAAGCCTGGTGAAATTTTACTCATCCATTAACAGAAAAGACCTTGCCCGGCGACACACGTGGGTGGGATTCCAGCAGGGTGACATTATGCTTTTGGCACGAGGGCCTTGGCCCCCAAGAATGGCAGCCCTGTGGCATGACAAACGCAGGCCACAGCCACATACTTCACCTGCTGACTCAAGGGGAAGAATGCAGAACCTACAAAAATTAAACTGCCAGCCAAAATCCTGAGATGGTAATCTCACTGAACAGCCCCTGGGGTAAAAGATTGATGATTAGAATTACACTCAGGAAAACACTGGCTGATTTCTAAACACCTTCAGAGCAAGGTATAGCCAAGACATTCCACTGGGGTCACTTCCTAAATCCACTGGAGGGAAAACATGAGCACTCAGCTCACTGGGACAGTGTTTTCTGTTTCACCACCATGGATAGAGGCCCCTCCACGCTCCATTAACATCAATGTCAGAACTCTCCTGCTTTTAGCACAAACTCATTTTCATTTCTCCTGCTCCTGGGTCATGTTTCGTTTCTCCTCTTTGCCACCTCTCCAAAACTGAAACAGCAGCAGCAGTGATCAGATCAGATCAGATGACTTCCTAGGTCACACACAGCCATGGAAATCCCAAAAGAATCCTCCGTTTTCAGGTGAAAACCAAATGTCGACACCTGTCCACCTGCTTCCCGCACAACCAGGGTTATTTTCCTCTTGAGGACTGGGTATTTAAGGATGTGGTTGAGACAATGCGTTTTCTGTTTGACTTCAGTTTGGCTTTCAGTTTGAAACCGAGACTGCTCTTCTTGTTAAACGCTGTCCCAGAAAGAAGGAAGGACTTCCAGAAGCCCCAGTCACCTGTCTGTGGCTCGGCAGGTTGAGGATAGCCACACCACAGCGATTGAAGAGCCCACGGTCGGATAAATGAGAACAGGTTCCCCTCCTTCTCTGGTTTTCTGAAAAACCCTGGGGAGCATTCGCTTCCCCCTTGCAAGAATGCTGCTAATATTTTGGTTTTTTAAAGTAGCTTTTAATCTTAATTGCTGTTGGGATCTTTGGGCGATCAAAGGGAGGATGGCTGTGATTCTTTGTATTACTCACTGCTGCATTAGCACCGGGATCACATATTCATTTATTTTGGTTGAGGAGGTAACAGTCTCCTTTCACTGCACGCACACAATTACTGTAAGCATGCAGGGGACTTGCCAAATGATGCATGAGGGGAGGAGGAGAATCTTTGAAGAAAATTGTTCAAACGTAATTTAGTTCACTAATTGGCAAGGGACCGTTACTAACGAATCGCTTCTGTTTTATGTCAGTACTGAATCAGGTTGATGATGTGTAACATACATTAAGTCAGTTAATGAGTATTAACTAGAAATGCGACTGAAACACAAGAAAAAGGGTTTTTCACCTTTAACTAGCCAAGCTGAATCACCAATAAATAAAAGGACATGTGTAAGTGGCTTAGATGATTCCAATCTGCAGTGGAAAGACTTTTCTTAGAATCTGATGGTAACCACAACTTTGTGGGAAAAAAAAAAAAAAATCAGACGCTTACTGTGGCACTTCATCACCACTTGCTTTAATTCTAACCAAGCCTGAAATGAAAATGACTAAAAGTCATTACCGTAAAATAGCTGATTAGAACCCAATGTGAACTGACACAGTGAGTCCTGGCCCAGGCTACGAGACCAGGGCATCGTGGGGCCAGCAAAGACATGTGTTGACTTGGTGGTGGCTGTGTGTGCACTTTCACTGGGGGACAGGACACTGCCCAGTCTGCACCAGGCAGGCTGATGTGCCCCTAACCCTTGGGAACCACGTGGAGAGGAGGGAGATCACCTTGCTGGAGCAGCCACAATCACAGCCACGCTCCACTGTCACCTCTGTGTGTGACCCAACAGCACGGCACGGCTTTGGGTGCAGTCAGGGCTGCAGGAATGTGGGAGCCCAGCAGTGCCAGGGCAGAGCTGAGGTGACAGCAGCCCACGTGCAGAACCTGGCTCACTTGTGGATGTGCAGCCCTGAGAGCAAACACTGTTACAAAACCCAGGCAGGAGGGAAGGTGCTGCCTGGCTCTGGCATGTGAACAAACTGGCTTATTAGGCCACAGGTGCAAAAATGAGAACATGGAGTGGAAGTGAGGATAAAATGGAGAATTCCTGTGTTCTGCAGGTTTTGTGAAATAGGTATCAGGCCATGGAACCTGCCAGACACTGTGGGGGGTTCAGGGACAGGTCTGTTTGCCATGGGCCAAAGGGGGACAGCTGTGGGATTGGCTTTAGGATTGCAATGCAACACCTGGAGAAGGAGGGTGACAGAATATCTCAGAGGTTCAGCCTGGGCATTACCTCTGCTCAGTCAGGCAGGTCCAGCCTGGCCTTCACAACTCGAGATTTTCAACTTTCTGGCCAAGCAGAGTCAAAGCAGAAGGGAGATGCATCAATCCCATCTCCTGGCAGCGCTAGGCAAGGAAAGATCACTGTTCCAGCAGGAAGGAAGGGCCCTGATGTCTGCAGCCAGTCTTGGACACTGCCACAGCAGATGAGAGATCCAGACTCTATGGATCAGACACTTGTCATGTGTTGTTCTCCTTACCTGTATTTGCAGCCACCAGGCACCTTTCTTACAGCTGGTTCTAAACTGGGGACACTGCAACACAATTGGTATTACAAATTTATATTTATATCAGCCGAACTGCTGAGCCCCTCGGCACACAGTGGGGTGCTGATTTAGAAATAAGCTGATAACACAGTCATGGCAACAGTACTTGCAGAGTCAGAAGAAAAACCTAAGCATCCAGCACCAGCAGAAAATGTGTACAGATTAGTTTATCTCTGCACTCAACAGAGATAAGACCCCTTCTTTTAAAAAAAAATCTAAGCTCCGGAAACAGCAGAGGGTGAAGTTAAGCACAATGTGGTGGATCTTTAGACAAGCTGCCTGCTGGCATTGACACCTTAGAGTTCATCTGGAAATTATGCCATTAAACAGGGGTGACAGTGGCACAGGACAGTCCAGCCCCAGAGGAGAGGGTTTATCCAGTGAGGGGCAGGGTGTGTGGGGGAAAGAGGCAGAAAGAAGCACACAGACACCATTAATGTGGAATGATAAATCGTCAGCTTAAGAACATCAAACAAGTGCAGCAGGTTGACAATGCCATGACAGTTCTGGTGCTTGTTGTCTTTTGGCAATCCAGAGCTTCCACGAGACAAACATACAGAAATACACATGGGACAGGGAAGAGTTAAACCCTGCTCTGTAGTCAGATGACAATGCAAACTCACACCTTCCAAACGTATTGTGTGTCAGAACGAACAGAATTTTCTGCCATTCAGAGGAAGCTTCTTTGGTTCACTGACCTTCCTTTTCTTCTCAGGTCCTATTACCTCTTCCTGGCTGAAGGCAAGGTTCAGGAGGTTTATCTGTAAGAACCATCAGAAACAGGGATCATTCTCAGAGGGCATGCTCCTGCAACATGAGTTTAAGAGTACAGCTTCCAAAAGTGCCATGTGTGTGCCTGGATCTTCTTGGCTTTGCTCATTGTGATCCTGTTCCCCAGAAAAGCAATTAGGCAAGGAATCAAAACTGGAGTGCTGGATGTAAGGGAATGTAAGAGTTGTGCAAGCAACAGGTTCAGCTTCAGGGACAGGGAATGGGTTTGGTGGCAAGGGAACAGGACCCACCTCCCCATCACTGACAGAAAATAGCAGGAGCAAGGAGATTTTTGAGGAATATAATAGCTGACAGGACATTTGTTTCTCCACCAGTCTCAGATATTCGTAACATATTAAAAAGAACAGGGTACTTAAGTCAAATTTGTGGTCACAGCCTTTCAGGAGAAGACACACAGTCCCTCTGTTTGTACCTCAGGGAATTCAGTGTGAGCTGGTCAATCTCAGGCTTCAAAACTACCTCTGAGTCTGTGAAAAATAACTAAGCTAAGCAAGCTTTTTTCCAAAAGACTTAACTTCCCTCTAGAAAGACACAAACCTCTCCCAGAAATACTCTGAGCCTGCAAATCAAGAGGTTAAAAAGCACAGATAAAGATATGTGAGAATATAAGTGAGTCAATGGAACAGACACTTCAGACAGACCACAGGGAGATGGACAGCCAGGATGACAGCTGAAGTGTTGGCTGAGCCAGGGGACAAACTCACTTATCCTCCTTATCATGTCACATATTTGCTTTTCTACAATAATAATCCGGAGCTGCTGAGAGCAGCGTGTGTTGTCGCCCACCCAGAAGGGACAAAGCAGAGTCTGGCAATGTGGCCTCTCTCACTGGGGCTGAGGGGACACACCAAGCACGGAGCTTCTCCTCCAAAACAAAGTTCACTTGGATGACAGCGAGGTGAAAGGAGAGGGAAAGGAGTGCTAAGAGAATTCCTGCTCCCAGACAGGAGCACCTCCCTCTAGTGTCACTGCAAGGCACGAGGAACCCCGGAACTGCAGCAGGGGAAGCACAAGGGGTTAATAGAGATCCGTTCCAGAACACATCCCAGGGATGAGCACAAGGTCTCCAGATTACAAGATGTGGTCATTATAGAATTCCCCGCTCACGTCACCAAGGCTTGCTTTCCATCTGACCTTGGAATGTGGCTTCGGCAATCTCTGCATAGCAATGGGCTTTCTAATGTGTGAAATAGCTCTGATTAGGGATTAACAGCAAAATACTTTGAATCAGCCTCACTTCGCCTCTCAATCGTGTTTCAAATGGTTTTGCTTTCCTCCTCTTCATTATGAGCAATACAATGTTGCTTAATGCAAAAGTACAATTTCCTTTCCCTAAAAACAGAGAAAATAAGAACATGCCAAAGTGGGCTGGGCAGGTTCTCCCTCATCCTGCACAGTCAGGCTGACAGAGCTTTCCAAGGCTGCCCAAGGTGTGTTTGCTTGAGGACAGAGCCATAAGTGGCTCTGTGTTACAGCTCCCCAACTGATACTCAGCTGCTTCAACTGGCATTTTTGGCAGCTATTTACTTTCCTCTCCCTGGCATCGTTTTAACCTGTCGGCTTCCTTTTTTCTTTTCAAGTGAAGGGCCCAGAGGAGGAAACACTGCATCTAAAACCTGGGCAGTGCTAACACAGCTGCAGGGTTTGTACCCTGTCCTGCTGGCCACATAACAAAGCAGGGACACAATTCCCAGTTTCCCATTACCTGGATGGGGCAGCTCTCCCTCTGTTTTAGTTTAAAACTAGCTAGAGCTGGTGCTTTAATTTCCTCTACTGAGGAATGGATCTTCCACAGCCCAGAGAGCTACTCAGTGAAGGATTTATCCCTTTGCTATTCCTCCAGAATTTCCTGGATGGATGGGATACTTGTGAGAGGGAGAAATAGCCACGATGAGCAGCTGCTTGCACTCCAGCTCCCCTCAGTTCTCCTGCCCTTTACCACAGGCAGCACGAGCACCTCACAGGAACCTGAGATGAGGAGTGAAAACATCCAAGGAAGCCATGGAGGGCTCTAGAGAAGCACCATTCACCCATGCAATGAATCAGATGTCAACAGTGAGAGGTATTTCACCCAAGCCAACACGTCCTGGCCTGTCCCTGCCCAAGCTCACGTAGGAGCTCGGAGCCAGGAACAGACCCCAAGTCCAACTTCAGCTCCCATCCTTAACCAAACACTCCGGCTTCTTCCCCAGAAAAGCTGCTCTAAAGGGGATTAAGTCAGCTCTGACGTGTGCTTATTTGACTTGAAGCAGAAAGTAAACCTCCTCAACGGTGTGAGAAGCAGGAAATCCCTCCCATTGATTAAACATACAATCAAAGCCTCCAGAAGTTCATTATTTCTAATTTTTCCTCATGTACTGGGATGCTTCACTTGAATAACTGATGTCAGAGCTTGGACTGTGAGAATGTTGCTCTTCCTCTTACACAGTCTCAGCCCCATGGATGAGCCAGGTGCTGTAAAAGCAGGTAGGACAAGGAGCAGCCCCTTGCACCCTCACCCTAAAAAGGGACCATGCAGACAGGTGGGACAAGAGCAAGCAGCAAAGGCAGCTCTGTGACCTCCTGACTCTGAGTCCAAGGCAGAGTTCAGGGTCTGGGTCACACTATGAACACACAGTGAGTTTGAATCTCCTGTTTTACTACGTGTAAAAAAGCATTATTTTGCCGCAGGAGTTTTCCTGTAGAACTACAGCTAACTTGTGAATCATACAAGTGTTACTAATTTCTGGCATAAAAACTCACAGGACAGCTGTGCGTTGTCTGGAGAAGATATCAGGCTAAAAATAGATTAGACTTAGATTAAAGCCTTCCCAAGGCAGACTGGTGGATAAAACAGAGTGAGCAGACCACAGCAGCATTGCTATTCTTAGATAGACACAATCAGGACCCAGAATTTGTGTTCTGTAGTTTGCAATCCCCAGTGTCCCCACATATTCCAGCCAAAAATTCCCAGCATAAATTGAAGAAAATTTACAGCTCTCCTGACGTGTTTTGCTTCCCAAGGCATCCTATGCAGAACAGCTAAAATTGCACAAGAGCATTCGGCTGTGTCCCTCTTTGTCCCTGGCCTGCCTCATGCTGGGGTTTGGCACTTGGCATATTTTATGCCCTCAGAAGAGTTTCCTTTGTCCAGGACACGGAGGGTTTTGTTTGGTACCTTGTAACTATCCCCACAAATTCAGAAGCACATGAATGTCAAAAGAAGTGCAGTTCCATCGAGCAAGCTGGAAGAATAAGGGAAGAATAAGATACAAGACTGAGCTGCTGAAATAAGGCAGAGTGACCCTCAGGTGTCAGGACAACACAGTTTGTACAGGGGACTCTCATCATCAGGGGTGTTAATCAGAGTGACTTGAGGCATCCTGTGATTTCAGCTGCAGCTACCACTGACTCAACAGCATACAAACTCCTGTCACTTCCAAAAATCAACCTGGTGAATCTTCAGATTGGTGCCCTAAGACCCAATTCCTGCCTGCTCACTGACAGCTGGCTGCTCTGTGCTCTGAAGCACAGCAAAAACCCAGGGTCACAGGACACATCAAAGTGTCAGTGAAAGGATGAGAGGAGATGGACACAAAATGAAACCACAGAATTGTAGATTCCCAGAATGGTTTGTGTTGGAAGGAATCTTAAAGCTCATCTCATTCCACTCTCCTGTCATGAGCAGGGACACTTTCCACTGGCCCAGGCTGCTCCATGCCCATCTAACCTGGCCTTGAACATTTCCAGGGAAATATAAGAAATTCTATTTAAACATTGGGATAAACTTTTTTTTTTTTTTTTTTTACTGTGAGGGCAACCAAGTAGTGCTCAAAAGTCATCCAGGGAGGCTGTGGAGCCTCCTCCCTTGGAGATACTCACCACCTGAGAGGACAAGGTCCTGAGGAACGTTCTCCCTTTCCCTGTGCTCTGAGCAGGTTGGTTGGCCCTGCTGATGCTGGTGGCTGCACAGGGGTGGCTCCATGGTTAAACCCCAGCACTGGGCTCCCCTCAGTCTCCAGTGCTGTGGTCACACTGACGTCAGTGGAAACCACCCTGATTTCCATCTGTGCAGGAGGATCACACTGGTTAGTGTGAAAGCCAGGTGGAACAATGAAAGACCCTCAGTGTGGTGCTGCTGTGGAAAGCTGCCAAGAAACCACGCCAAGACATGGCTGACTATCACCAGTCCTCTTCCTTTTCCTCAGCTCTGATAAAACCTTTGGCATTCAGTGCCACTCTTTTGTCTCACGTTCCGTTCTGCATCTTGTGTGTCTTGTAGCTTTTAAAAGATCAATGAACAGATCTTTTCAGAGTACAAAAAAAAATGCTTCAAAAATTCCTATCAGAAGACAAAATTATCAATACCTCTCCTGTTAATCTCCTCCAGGGCCCTCAAGCCACTTAATCCTGTCAACTTCCATGATGGACATTCTCTTTGCTGGATCACAATCACTTCCCAGAATTCTGATTCCAACTCTGCAACTGAGGGGAAAAAGACAATGGACACTCCTTCTGCCTACTAGGCTGCTACCCAGCAGCCTCTCATGGGATATTAGATGTGTCCAACCTTAATTTATGTGGATTTCTCCAGAGGGTCTGGCTGCTAGAATGCACAGAATGAACACATGGAATGGCAGCCAGCACGGAAGCGCCACGTCTTCCCACAGATGTCCCTGGGGGAGCTGCCAGGGAATCTGAGGGTGCAAAGGTTAAATCTCCCTGGATCTGTGGGGTGACAGGCCTCACCTCTGCATGCAGAGATCACTAGGAAACTGTTTCCTGCACGCTAGACAGGGATAACTCATGGAAGGGATGAATGGCCCCAAGATACAGCTAAGGATCTGACGTGAACTGAAAGAAGCCAGGAATTTCCTGACCTCCCTGTCTCACTCCTCCCAGTATGGCCTGAGCTCACAGGAAGGAGAGGCAAGCTCATCTCTGAATCTTTCTCTCTTCATTGCTTGGGTCTGTGCAGCTTCAGCTGGTTTGGAGGAGAAAATGTTCTGGGAACTTCTCATCAGATACAGCTCTCTTGATAGACAGACAGAGATAAACCTTGCTGCTTTTTTTTCCTCTTCTGCAAAAGTTCAAGATAATGACATTGCCACAGAAAAATGCTTTTCTATTGCTCTGCACATGGCAGGTTTCATCCTTCAACTGCCTTCTGTCATGGCACTTCTGAACATGGTTTGCCTGGGAAAAATCAGACAACAAAGGTCCTGATCTCCAAGCTGTTGTTCTGCAGTTGAACACACTTGTGCTGATCTTTACTGCCAAAAGAAGCTTGTACAACACTGCAGCTCAGCAGGGCACAGGAGCTGTGGAATGGTTTGGGATGGAAGGGATCTTAAAGCTCATCTCACTCTACCCCTGCCATGGCAGGGACACCTCCCACTGTCCCAGGCTGCTCCAAGCCCCAATGTCCAGCCTGGCCTTGGGCACTGCCAGGGATCCAGGGGCAGCCACAGCTGCTCTGGGCACCCTGTGCCAGGGCCTGCCCACCCTGCCAGGGAACAATTCCTGCCCAATATCCCATCCATCCCTGCCCTCTGGCAATGGGAGCCATTCCCTGTGTCCTGTCCCTCCATCCCTTGTCCCCAGTCCCTCTCCAGCTCTCCTGGAGCCCCTCTGGGCACAGGAAGGGGCTCTGAGTTCTCCATCAGGTACCTGACAATGATCCCTGGCACACCAGATAGGTGTTACTGCATCATTCATAAAACTGTCCACACAGCCCCTTGGAGAAAGAGCACAAAGCCAGGTAGCCAAGTTCTTCTGCACAAGGAGCAGCAGCTGGAGGCCAGACAGACTGTCCTCTGAGGCCTAAAGCAGCCCTGATTCACAACACTTAGGTATGAACCTCTCCCCAGACAGTTGCAGACAGAATCTCTCTTCCCAGTTGCAGACAGCTCCTGTCAGGAGAGCTGATCCACATGGCAGGAGCCTGCCTACAGCAGCCAGTGAATCCCAGAGCAGAATCCCTGAGCCATCACTGATCCCACTGGGATGCCCACACAATGCCAAATGTCAACACGCTGCCTCATGTCCCACAGCAGTCTAGAAGCATGGCCAGCCCAGCAGCAGCAGCGTCTGGCAGCAGCTGATGAAGCCAGAAACTTGGGAGGCAGAGCTGCCTGGTGCTGTGCTGATACAGCCACACCATTCCCAGCCAAGGGCGAGCCAGGGCTCCCTGCACGGCTGCCTCTCTGTGCACCGAGTCTGTGCTCCAAGGACCACCCCAGAACTTCAGCCCACAGCTTCCTGATGGGAGATAAAAGCCTGCAGAGGCGTTCACATGGTCAGATTTTACTCATCTTCTAGTTCTGTTTCATTCCAAACTCATTCCACTGCAATATGTTTGCTTACATGAAGACAAAGCTGACCAAAATCAATTTTCAGGACAAGGACATTAAAGGATGTTCTTTATAAGAGGATAGAAGAGTTCTTTGAAGAACTCAGAAGTTATCCCAAGTTCAGTGCAGGACCTCATTCTTAGCAGCAGATTTCTGTAAGTTAAACTAATGGGCAGCAAGTCTCTATTTCCCCCAACTCTTCACAGCTCCTAAAATGCCAGTGGAAAGAAGGAAGATGCACAAAGATAGCACAGGAGCACAAACTGATGCAATCAGAAGGCTCCTGAAACCAGGAGAGGTGATTTACATGCTGGTGCCTAACTCTGGATGATTAAGTGCAGAGATGCTCTGCTGGGAAAGGGCAATCTCTCATTTGATCCTGAGGATCATCAATCATGTGATGGTAGATAAGAAGCCAGTGGAGAACATGGAAATTTTTCCCCAACCTGCAAAGCCCTCTGTCAGAGACTCTCTGTGACCACTCCTAAAGGCCTGTTCCAGTTCTCACTGGGTAGGAAGAGCTGCTTCTCTTTTGGCAGATCCACATCCTTTGACTGTCCCATGTCAATTAGACAAAAATAAGCCTTTAATACTTTCATTCCTGGTTTTTCTGAAGAGCTCTAGGTCAGCAAGATAATGACCAATAAACTCAATTCCAGTTTTTATTTTTGGTAACCAAGCAGTCAGAAGGATTCATTCCAGCTGAAGAGCAGAAATGTGCTCACCCACATTCCCAAAAGCAACTTGTGACTGTGGGTAACGGTTTTGAACTCAGAACTTCTTGAATATCAGATCCTTGTGCAGACAGAAATTTTCTGTGACACTCCAAATTGTTCTGGTTAGTTCAGAAAAATTTGGCATTCCCACTCCAACCCAAGAGCTGGAAAACTCTATTAATACTGTCTAAATGGCAACAAGGTGTTCACATTCACACCCCACCAGGTCTGCTCCTCCCCATCTCACCTACACCTGATCCTGTCAGAGAACACCTAACTCAAACTTCCCAGCCACTTCAACTTCTCCTCATTTTTTAGGACAAACTTCACCCACCAGCTTGGTTTTCTGATTCATATGGACTACACAATGGTCATTTGTTTTAACCACTTCCTTCAGAAAAGAAGGGAAAGTCCCTCTCATATGGAAAAGAGTGTCAAATTTTTATTAGTGCAGGCTTTACAGTGATGATTCTAACTACTGGCTTGACTTTGTTTTTCCCTAAACTGGGTGAAATATTAGCTAGCTTCTAAGCTATGAGGTTTTAAAAATAGCATCAAAGAATACATTAAGAAAAGAAACTCCCAGGGCTTGGGATTTTTTTTTTAAAGTCTTTGGAAGCACATGATGGATAAAGTGATTCTTCCATTTTTCAGCAACTAATGCTGTTTCCACCACCTTCAGACACTCTCACTCCTGCTACCGAATTCTAATGAAATGCACATGCTGAGAGAGATGTCTGGTGCTCTGCTGGCCATCGTGACAGCCCCAAAAGAAGGTCAGAGCATGAATCAGTGGGGCAACCATGAGTTGCAAACAAAAAAGGCTCCTGTTTTCACAGACGACAGAATAAACAATGATCAGAAGGAAAGCGGAGGATGTGACATGGAAAAAAAAATGTGGTTAAAGTTTGAAAAATACCAGCCTAGGCACAGAAGTTCACTTCTAAGATCCAGAGTCAAGGCAAATACCTCGTAGATGCCTTTAGAATGACAGGCTGAGTTGCAGTCTGCAGTTGCTGTCTGGGTTAGACACTCTAGGATTCTTTTCAACAGAGGCGGGGAAAATTTTAGTAGCAATTTCCTACTCTCATTAGCTTATCCTGTAAAGATGCAGTTTCTGACCATTCAAGCTCACATGATTCTCAGCTAATTTGAATGGTAGGAGGATCAAGAGGCAAGTCTGGTGGTATTCAGAGATTTGCCATGTCACTGAACAAACCTTTGCATATGCCCGTGAGTTTGGGCTCTGATGGTGACTCAGGGTTTGGCTGGGCAGCCTTCAGGGTGAGATTAAATTTTTACTTGTCTAAAACAACCTACCTGGTCTATACTAATTCTTTGGGTTGCCCAAACAACCATCAAGAAAGAGATCAGTGCCTCCAGGTTATAATTCTTTCTACCCCAGAGGGGTAGCCAAAAAGGGATAGGATTCATTAGGTACCTGTGACTCACATGTAAAGAAAGTCTGGAAGCAAGAGGGGAGAAGTGAAGACCATATTAGGCAAAGAATACACCCTTCAAACCTAAAATAGGGTGGTGATTTCAGACCCTTAATCCAAAACCACCCACAGGTAAACCAGCCTGGCTGGGACAGAGATAGGCTTAGTCTGGGTGTGTTACTCACAGGTACCAGCTCCAGAGAACAGCATCAAATTTTGGTACTGGGTGGAGGAAATAAACTGATTGTGGAAAGCTTCTTCCTAAATGCCTCCAGTTCATGTTTACATCCCTCTGCTACTCTGTAGCAGCTATATATTGTGACCCTGCACAATAAATCCACTAAAGTTAGTGAATTTTGTGTCATCTTTGATGATGCAATGATCCATGGCAGTGAATTCCCCTGTGCCTGGAGTATCTCAGAACCAATAAAGCTTCCTCACCTGCTGACATGCCCTTGAGCAAGGCATCCTGTCCGTCTTCTTTATTGCCCTCTTATTCTTCCTACCTGCAACCCAAAGAGCAAAGCAAAATTAGCTGCAAAATGCTTAATTAAAAAAAAAAAAAATAAAAAAAATCTGGAAGCCTGACTAAACCACTGAAGCAAAAATCTCATGATATTGTGTAAGCTTTGCTCTCAGACACTGCCAGCAGTGGCAGTTTATTCCTAGAAAGAGATTTCAGCATAAAGTGTCAAATGAACATAAGCTTGCAGCAGCTCTGTCAATTATAATCTCCCTTTTAACCTGTATCTAAGAAAACAAAGCTTATGTCTAGACATGCCATAAGTGAGGGATGGGGAAAGGAGGGGAGATCTCCCCTGGTTAATATTTATTAACTTTCAGACAGTTTCGATAAAATTTGAGGGGGTGTCCGGAGTGCCACAGTTTCATGAGATCAGGCAACTGTTTAGAGGAGGAGGATCCTGTTAAAATCCCCAGAGCAACAGAAGTGGCAGGATGAGTTAATTCCTTATTAGTCATCAGAGAATCGGCAGGAGAAAGACCTGCAAAGGTGATTTCACCGGCAGGGAAGCGGCTTCATCCTAGTGCCTGGCAATCCCAGGAATGCTATTTACTATTTTGTCACTAGATGGTATTGTTCCACAAGCTATATCCCAGAGCCTCGAAGGTCAAACACAGCATGGTATAGCAGAGGCTGGGTTGGTTTTAGGCACAGAAAAGGCTTTTTTTCTCATGTGTTTTCATGTATGTTTTCCTACATGGAAGTTATTAGCAAAAGTCAAACTGTAACAGCTAAAGGAAAAGAGCTCTGTTGAACAAGGAGATAATGTAACTTGGTTTTGATGATCTCTGCATTTCCTTTGTATCTCAGAAAAACTGCTGAGATAAAGAGGTACAAAGATACTGATACAAAATTAAATGTTTCTGTTAACAAACCAAGCATAATCAACGGGCCCTTTGTTACAGCTCAGTCTCTCACAAAGTTCAAACACCCTGACAAACTCTGCTCATCCGAAACCTAAATATTAGAGAATCACATAATCATGGAATAGGTTGGATGGGAAGGGATCTTAAAACCAATCCAGTTCTACCCCCTCCCATGGGCAGGGACACCTTCCACTGTCCCAGGCTGCTCCAAGCCTTATCCAACCTGGCCTTGGGCACTGCCAGGGATCCAGGGGCAGCCCCAGCTGCTCTGGGCACCCTGTGCCAGGGCCTGCCCACCCTGCCAGGGAAAAAATTTTTCCTCTAATATCTCAAAAAACCTACTGTTATTCACAACACTGAAAGACCTTACCCAGGACATTATGTGGAATACATTTTGCTGGGATACAATCAGGAGCAGAAGCTCCTTCAGTTTTGAAACTGGGCATTTACCTGTATCTTTAAGGCAAAAAGAAGATGCTTCTGTTTTCCTGCCTGGATGGGTGTCACTTCTGTCCCCTTCATGCTCATTGGAATCTGCTCTGACAGGGCAAGGGTGATTCTGTAAAGCAAAAGACATTTTGTCTAGATAATATAACCTAAAAAATACACCCAGGTGGTAAATCCATAAAGAAAACGCTTCTTTTAAGGAGGTTTTTGCTAGATAAACTCTATTCCTTCAGTGAGAATCAAAGAGAGCTATTTCTATACCTTTGTGCTCTCCTCCTCCTCCTCTTCCTCGCAGTCTAGCCCTTGGTGGGAGATCTCAGTAGGGCCATTCTTCTGGATCAGGTTGCTGTCAGCCTTCCTCACCCTCTTCTTCTCAGTTATCACTTTGACTTTCATGAGGTGGAAGTCAGTGGAGACTGAGCCCAGTCTCAGGTGGACAGGATCCCCAGCAAACAAGAAGTCACCAAGGTTGCCATCTTCCATGAAGCCAGGGGGCTGGTAATCCTTGGGTGTGACTGCACAGGGAGAGGAAACCCCATGAGGTCAGGAAAACCAAGCTCCATCTCTCCTTAGTCTGATTTAGAAAGAACAGTTATGAACCAGCTTCAAGTAACATTGATTACAAAAACTATTCCATGTTTTGGGGTCTTTTAGGAGGAAGGGACAGAATACAAAGGGTAAAATGAGCTGAGCAAATGTTATCAGGGAGCTCAAAGAAAAAAATTCTTCAGGATGCTGAGATACCATTAAAGTGCTGGAGCAAAACCTGCCATTCCTTGTTCCTTAAAGAAACAAACTCAAAAACCCCCAAAACCCCAGGGAAGAAGGATTTCTCCCTTTCACACCGCATAGTTGTACTTCTTATATGGGTTTCAATCCTTTCCTCAAAACATCTGCCATCTCTGTGCATCAGAAAGATTTACTGTGTTACACCATTTCTCTGTGCTATCAGCCAACAGCTTCTTCCTCTCACCTTCTCTACGCTTTATTTTATTCATAATATTCCATGAATATGATTTATTCATGATACTCCATTATTAGAGAGAATGATGGAATTCTTCCCTAAGGCACATACTGCTGTCCACCTACCATTGTTGTAGTAGAGGAGTTTCATGCTCAGGGTGATGTCATTGGGCAGAGGCCCGAGGTCCTGCATGAGCACGTACAGGCTCCGGAGCAGGAACCTGCTGGCCTGCTTGACATCCTTGCCGCACAGCCCTGCCACAAACTCCCTGTGGTTGCTACAATTGGAAGAATAATGGATTTGTTATCCTCAGTCATGAATATTCACGATCCAATTACACACACAGAGTACCCACTGACTTGTCTGAAACCACCAGTGAAAAAGCTACAATGTCTTTATGTAATTTCCAGATAAACAGGGAAGTGAAACAGGCTCCAGGGATGGGGTGGCATCCGCAGAACACCCGCTCCAAACTCAGAGGCCTGGCATTTACATTTGAACAGACTTTGGAGCTGGGGCAACCATTATACAAATGTCATGACTCACTTGTTTGAACATGATTAAATTGGATCAAAGGACCATAAAACAAGTGCCTTTCACCTAAGCAATTTCAGGAACGAGAGGAATGAGTTGAGGATCCCATCTAAAGCCGATTCATCACAGGGGTTATTTTCAAGTCCATTCTGCAGTTTTTGAAGAGAAGTGAATTGCGTGTTCTCACTTAATTCCATGTAAGATAAAGCAGCTCAGAGGCACATTTTTCAGCAGTGACGAAGGGGCATTCCTCTCACCTCCTTCACCCATTCAAATGTCAGCTGGCTGCTCCAAGCCAGCAGTCGAGAGACCCATGGGTGACATGAGTGGGATGAATGGCACTCTAGAGGAGCTTGCTTCTCTTTAATTAAAACTGAGGTAGATGAGATGAGCAACTCAGAGCAGCCAGTTAATTTCAGACAGAGCAGATGAATCACTGTGTGAGTAAGAGATCTGAACTTTCCTAACTTTCAATGAGAAGGGGTCATAAAGATGTGTAGCTCCTTCATTATGTCTTTGGAAGACCCCTGACACTACACATAGGCTGGAGGGTGCCCAACAAAATCAGCCCAAGTTGCATCAAAAGTAGTAAAAAAGTAACTCAAGAATATCCCAGAGTAAACCTGACTGACTGAACCTCAGAAATAAACAAATTAAGACAAATTCCTCCTTCCAGTTGAACTTCTTTGGGTCATGAAAACTGGGTGGCTGTGGAACAGCTTGACTTCCCAAGGTATGGAATCACAGCATCATTTAGGGCTGGAAAAGCCCTCTAAGATCATGAAGCCCAAACTCTGTGGTGTTAGATGTGCATTGTGGTCTTTGATTAAATCCTGCATGTTCAGAAATGCACAGTGAGAGGAAAATGCTGGCAGTGCCTAAGGTAGAATATGCATCACCTTTACAAACTGTGGGATTAGCAGGTCAGAAATGGCAAAAGGAATGTCCATAGGAATTAACAAGTCAAGCACTACTTCAGTATGGAAATAACATTGAGATTTTCATGCAGGAGGGAGGCAAAAAGCAGAAGATAAGGAACTGAACCTTGGAAGGGGTAGGATCTGTGGCAAGAAGTTTGCCCAAAGTTCATCTAAAATAAGGCAAGGACCATTCAGGAGAAAGTTTCCCCTTACGCTTTGGATGTGATGCTGCAGCCCCACAAAACATCTCTCCCAGAGCGATTAACTCCGAGTTTGCACAGGACAACAACTGCTGCAGGTGTAAAAGGCAGTGTTATCAGCTGAAGGAGCTGACAGCAAAGATGACACAATTCCCTGATCTGTGCCAGAACTCTGGATTATTAAAGATGGCAGGGACATGCATGAGCCTGCCACAGCACTGCCAATCCCTGAGGAAACAGAGCCCAGGAATTCAATGCCACAGGCACTGGAGCCTCAGAGCACATTCAAACATGACAGGAAGATGGCTTGGCTTCTCCCTGTATGACACAATGGACACCCTAACTTCATATGGGCACTGTTCTTATTTCTAGGAATTAATGAGCAGTGCTGATTAAAACCAAAGTACTCAAGGGCTATCATCTTTCAAATTCCAGATCTCCTCCTCCCCTCAGTGTGAGGACAAGGGACAGCAGCTTTAAAGTAGAAATGGAGGGCACAGCCAAAAGGTCATTCCAGAGGTAATTCAGATTTGCCCAAAAGAAAATAATTTTGCCTTATGGTACAAATTATTTGGATGTGTTTAGAGAAAGAGCAGCTAAGGGCACACTCCAGGAGTTCTGGGGAGGAGCTTCCTGAGGAACACACAAGACAGTAGAGCTTTCTTGCTGTCCAGGCAAGTTCCAAGATCCCTCTTTCACCAGTGGCAACTGCAGAACAAACTAAAAAAAGGTTAATTATTTTCCTTTGCTTTGGTTATAGCCAACGGCTTTTGATAGTATTTATTTGAAGCTCCACAGGATTACAGCCTACTAAACACAGCTTTAAATATCTAACAGAGAGTGCCAAAAAGAGGCAAAAAGCTGCTACTTCCTGCCACATGTTTTGCACCATTAGCTCAGGCATCCTAAGTGAAAGTTCTCTCAGGTCACCCACACAGGGCTGCTCAAGCAGAACACACGTATGCAAATGCTCAAGGGAAAAAAATCCTGGGCACAGGATCATGGTGGAAGGGCTCAAACATGAGCAAGCTTCATTTGAAAGCAAGAGGCTGTCTGGTGGAAGTGTTGAGAGCTGAGACAGCAGCAAGCTCAACAACTGGGCTGGTTTCTGCATCACCTCCCAGATGAGGCACCACTTCTGTCAACTGTCCTTGGCTCAGGTGTACTTTGGGGGCCTCATGGTGCTATGAAAGAGCATTTCACTTCATCCTCCAAGCAGTTCATACCCTGTAAGGTGAATATCCTCAACTCTGACAGTATTTACAGCTGCTTAATGACTTGGACCTGCTCAAACCACAGAATCACAGGATGGTTTGGGTTGGCATGACCTTGAAGTTCATCTTGCTCCACCCCCTGCCATGGGCACAGACACCTTCCACGAAACCAGGTTCCTCCACCCAACCTGGCTTGGACAATTCCAGGGATGGGGAGTCTACAACCTCTCTGGGCAATCAGCTTCTTAATGCTTCAAAAATACAGTTTTTAGTGTAACCCTGAGAAATCAGCCCAAATCCTTACCTGCAGATGTCCATCTGGGGCACCTTCTTTTTGTACTTGAATTTGAATTGATACATTTCAGTGACTGTCTAGAGATGTAACAAGAGAGGAGAAGCAGAAATGGATCACTTTCACAAACAAGATGTATCCTGAACTTGGAGAGTCTTTTCACACTCTCTGCCAGAGCATAGCATTAATTTAGTGACATGCTGACAATTCTAACTCTATTGTTGCTTGCACAAGCTTTGGCAAATTCTCTTAGCAGCCACATCTTACCTGGCACTGAACAAATCACAACAAAATTACAAACTTCCTGCCTCCTCCTTCCACTTCCTCTGTGAGCTTGGCTCTCCAACTTCAGTCTCTAGCAAGGCTCCAGGGCTGGCCAATCCTGCCAGTGTCCCTTGCTATAGGAAAACTGGGAAGCTGCACAGGTGACCAGTGTCACAAGGAAGCCTGGCCCCATGCTCTGTATGGGGACAAGGGCCTGGAGGACTCTTCCCACAGGAAAATCCAAACAATACTGCACTGGAAAAAGTTGCTGAATTTCACCGGTCTTGGAGTCTTTTTGAGGTAGACAAAAATAGTGGATGATTTTCCATTTAAAAGAATTAGAGAATAAAACAATAAGGAAGAACAGACAGCTTCCCCCCAAGAGAAAGGGTCTATTGTACACCAATTCCATGCCTATAATTCACTTTTTCCAGAGACAATGAGGTTGATTAGTAGAAGCTCAGCTGAGCTCTTAACTCTGAGCCTTCCTTGCAAATCCCAGCCTTGGCATGGCTCAGCTCCTGCTCTGTCTCCAAACTCTGAGGGGCCATGCTGCAGAACTGCAAACAGGTTCAGGTGCAAAAGGTCTGAAGCTGTTCTCTGATCTCCAGCATGGATGCAGAGCCTCACTCCTGGATCACACCTCCCAGATGAAACCAAACAGAAACACAACAGGGAACACTGAGAGGCCAAGGACAGGCATTATCCAACACACCCATCCAGGTCTGAAGGGATTCCTGACTTCTGTCCTACACCCCTGCACGACAAACCAGCTCTTTTCATCAGGGCTGTTAAAAAGGTGGTTTGCAAATGAGTAATGTTGAACTTCCCATTTTTTCTCTTTGGGAAACTAAAACAAAACTGTGAACATGCCCATTAGTTGTCTGCTAACATGTCTGCCTGAGGCCCTGGTGGGCCCTCAGCCGGGTGTTTGATCACAATGCAGCTCACTGAGCTGGCACTCGGGAGTGAAGGCACAGGAACAGAAATGGGGTCACCAAGGAGCTATGTCAGGGTAGGACTTAAGCCTCCACTCCACTCTGAATACAAATGTACTCACCCATGCCTTCAGCTGCCTTAAAGATTAATTAAGACTCTTACCTCAGGATTGGTGTAAATCTGTTACAAGAAAGCACAGTGAGGGCATTCTCCCTGAGAATACTTGAACCAGTGACTAACAAGGATATTTTCAGTTTACAGCAGAGACTGTGCTATCTTTAGTGTGGTATCAGAGAAAGGAATGGCTGGGAAAGAGCTTCCTCTATCAGCAATCCATACTTACCACTTCAAAGTCAGGTAGAAGACACTCATGTGTGCAATATTGGAGGAATAAGGTTAGTTCCTATTCCAACTCTCACAGGCAGCTATTGATGCCTGGGATTTAACTGCTCAGATGATGCATAGAGTAGATGGTGAGCAAAGCTCCTGGTGCTTTGCAAGGGGCTGGGGCCAACAACTGCCTACGGAACCACCAGTGTGTGGTTTCTCCAGGATCAGATTAATAAGGAGGACTCTTCTGCAGGGGGAAAAGGAGAGCACATGGCAGCTTCCATGACAGGAATCACATGCAAGTGCCTCTCAGAGTTTAAGGACACAAATAAGGCCTCAGTCAAAAGTCTGACATGCTGAGAAAAAAACATTCCCATGCAGCCTTGAACTCCACATTTACTGTATCTAAGAAAGGTCACAGCTCTATTAAAAATCACAAACATTTTGGCTTCTCCTAAAAAAGGCATAACTGGGTTGACACAACCTTGACTCTGTATCTCTTTCAAGCAGGGGATGGGAGAGAAAACCACTTTGTATTCATTTACTTACTGCAAGGACAGCCACGTGTAGCTAAGGAGGGAAAATCAAAACAAAACACAAAATCAACATCTAACCTTAGTGGGCAAGTAAAAGCAAGTCCTATCAAACCCCGACTGCCTACACAGGGAGAAGAAATAGATACACTCAACAAACCAGGAGTTAAAACCCTTTTTGCAGATTCTTCCCAACACAGCATCAGCAACACCTAGTGGCCAGTTTGCCTGGCTTGATTCACAGTTTCCCAAAAAAACAACTCCATGCTCAGTAATCTCCCTTGGGACTCCTTGCAAACAAATCCCCAAATACTAAATTAAATCTCTTTACAAGGGCACCCATCCCTACTGAAGGTTAATATTTGCTTTCTGCTAGGAAATTCCCCAAAGGTATTTAATTTATGCTCTATCAAGGAGTTGCATATGGGACTGCCCTTAAAAACAATCTTAAAACATGCATTAAATCCCTCAGTTTTTCCTTAATCCTTGTCAAACAATTAATTTATGTCTCTCATAAATAACAAAGGGCTAAATACCCCCTAGAGCTGTCAGTGAGCACTAAACTGTGTTCACAACATTGTTAATTATCTTGTGCACACTGACAGCTGTACTGATGTCTGAGAATCACTCAGATAATCAGTGCCAGAACGACCAGTGCTCCACCTGGTTTGGAGGAGCTGGGCTGGTGAACAGTGCTGACACAGAGGACAGCAACTGGTGCTTTTTCCTGTGTAGGGCAGTTTTTATGCGAGAATCAGCAAGGAATATGAGCACTCACTAGGTGGTTTTGTCCTGCAAGCAGTTACATACCTTATTTGGTGAATTAAGGGGAAAAAAGAAAGGGACAAATTCTGAGCCTGAGAGAAAAGCCCGGAGGGTTAGAGAAGATGAGATGAAGGGGAAAGATCAGGGAAAAGGAGATGAAGGGTAGCAGAAGCACAGAACTCTCCCAAAGAAACAAAAACAGGCAGGAGATCCAGATCTCAGCTCTGTCTGGCAGGGTATCTATCAGACATAAGAGAACACAAATGCAGAGCACTGAATTAAGGGAAATCCATTGCAGGCTGAAAATTGGTTCCCACACCATGGACAGGAGAGCCCAGAGAAAGTGGACAGGATTTGAGCTCAAGGCATAAAATCCCAAATCTCATACTCAGGGCAGGGTCTTTCCCCTGTCCCACAGCTGTAGAGGTTATTGTGTGCATCAAAGATCACAAGAGAAATACAGCAGGAATGGAAGGATAGTTTTGTCCTTTATGAAGAAATAGGACTCTCCATTAAAAAGTGAAAAAAACCCACTTACATACTGCTTCTCCAAAGCATCAAAACAACCTTGAATCCTGCCAGGGAAAAAAAACATGTTAATACTAACCAGCAACATTTATCTCCTGATCTGTAAACACACTCATTAGATGTGGGTTAAAGGGCATTTTTTCTGGAATTAGGACAACACAAGTATCAACATTTGGGGCTTGTGAAGTCCTTTTCAGGTCAGAGCTAAAGGCAGCATCCTCCTTTCTGCATCTGTGCATTGTTTATACTTCTGGGGCATTATCCTGTCAGCCCAGAGCCTGCTTGAATCCTGACAAAGACAAGGATTGGAGGCCAAAGGCTCTGAGTGTGTCCCTGCTCAGTGCTCTGTTCCAGTTCCCCAGCCAGAGCTCTGATGGCTCTTTTCCCATCAGCCTTGTACAGAGCTCGGCTCAATCTGAACATGTCTGGTCTTGTAAATCTTTGTTATCTGATGCCGAATTTACAGCAATGGATTTTCTCAAAGTAGTAAATATTTGAAACAGAAATGGCCATATCTTTGACTCCAGATGCTCTTGGAGTCAAAGGATGTGCAGTAAAGTATCTCTTTAGCACATCAGGGACAGTTTTGCTGCTTGTTGGGAACATGCCAACTGTGAAATACATCCTGAAGAAAACTGTGGGGTTCTTAGAGAGGGAGACAAAATACTGTACATACTGAAAAACAAGTGCAAGAATCCCTATCAAAGTGAAACCAGAAAAGACTTAACACAACAGAAAGGATCTCATGACAGTCTTCACCCTCTCTCTGCCCCTCTGCTGCTCCATGTGCTCTGGGGCCTGACCATGATCTCACTGCAGCAAACATTTCCACAGACCTTGAACTCACATGATCTCTGTCACTAATTCTGTCCCATTTACACGGGGACCAAGCACCCCCAGCTGCAGTGGGAGCTCCCCTGGCACCAGGGCACAATGTTTTCCAGTTCAGGAAGAAGAAGAATGCAGGGGCAGATGTCTCCTACTCAGCACAATCTTGTCTTGGTTTCACTGTTACTCACTTACCACTTGACTATCTGCAGTGATCCCAGACAGCTTTTATCTTCTCGGAGAATTTTTAGACAGAGGTCTGCAAAACCAGATTTAGCACATAGTTACAATCCTTATCACAGCTCCTGGGCAAACACTGAAACTAAGCCAGTCCATCCTCCCTTTTTTTGATACAAGCTTTATCTGAAAGTCCCTCTTGAGTGGAAATGCTGGGTTTCCACTGAATCCCAGCTGGGCTGACACAAGCTTATTGCTGGGTTTGCAAATATTGCTCTCCTCAGAAGCCCTGGGCTCCCCAAGAAGGGATGGAAACACCAGCAGCTTCATCCTTTCTTCCCTCATCTTCTCCACTCCATCCTCAACCATTCCCTAACACCTTCCCTTCTGCATTCAGACTTCACCAACATCCATGTGAAGTGATGTCCCAATGACTGTGCTCACAATAAACTTCCTGTGAAGCTTTTCCACACAGCCCCTTCTACCTTGTGCTTCCAGGCATTCAGAATGGCAAAAGGCACACCTGTCCTACAGGTGAAAAGGGGCTTTATAACACCTTAGGACGCAACCAAGGGGCCCTTGAAGATGTGAGCAGGCCAGATGTTAAGAACCCTCACAAAAAAGGCACTAGACAGACCCGACATTGACCAATGGCTTTTCGGGCTTAGGGGATCAAGAACCAATTTGGGATTTCTGTGCCCTCAACCAAATCTACAAAGTACATGTGAACATGTTTCAGGGCACCTAATGCCATAAGGGACAACATGGAAATGGACTGGAATGCATGGACACATTTCACACTTTGATCATAAAGATGTTCACGAACCAAAGCACCACTAATTCTTGGGATCGTGTGACAAGAGTTTGGTTCTGAAAGTCCTTTTCTTTCCTTAAAAAGTCTGATTCCCAAAGCACATATGAGATAGTTTTCATGGAAAAACAACCCAAATCCCAACAATGAAATTGTTTCAAACTGAAGGAGGGATGATTTAGATTAGATGCAAGTAAGGTTTTTACAATGAAGGTGGTAGAACACTGGAACAGGTTGCCCAGAGAGAAGGCAGATGCTCCATTCCTGGAAATATTCAGGGTCAGGTTGGATGGGGCTTGGAGCAACCTGGTCTACTAGAAGGTATCCCTGCCTATGGCAAGGGGTTGGATTTGCTGGTCTTTAAGAGGTCCCATCCAACCCAAACCATTCTACAATTCTATGAAAACTGAGAAATCTAATTTCAGCCTCCCAATGAAAACTAAAAATGTGAACTTCATGGGTTCAAAGGTCCAAAAGAAAATAAAACATTCCAATAAGAGTAAATTTTTAAAACTTCCTGAGTTTAAAGTCACTCTCCTGGCTCTGAGACCTTATTCATGGGGCTGGAAATGCTAAGGAATTATTCTAAACCAAGAGAACACCACCAGAGAAGCCAGGAGCTCAAGGTTGTCTGCCATGCCCTCTGTCAGAAGTTCTGTCTGCACCCAGACTCGAGAAGATTTGAGAATTGGTAGCCAGCTCCCAACCCAAAGTGAACTCACACACATGCGCAGCCAGAAGGTAACACACAAGCAGACTATAGGTAAAATACAGTGAGCAGAAAGAAGCACTCAGCACAAACTGCAGGTGTTACCATCCAGATAGCGAGTGCAGTAGGAGCCCTCTGGGAACAGCCCCCTCATGTAGGTTATGCAGGACACAGAGATGGCCAGGAGCCTTTTCACCAGCACCAGGGACTGCTTCTCTGTGGTGATGCTCTCAGGGAACAGCACTGCTTCCTGGAAAAGTACGGCAAGGACAGAAATAGCACCTTCTTAACTATAACACAGATTATATTTAGAAACAAGTCTCAGCAGGTGGGAAGAGGGTAACTTAGAAATGTAATTTTAAGGTTTCTCTGGTGTTTAAGCTAGGCAAGGAAGACTTGTGTCTGAGGTGGGTGGATTAGATGATTTAGGGGTAGAGATCAATAGACTTGATGTAATTACTCAGATGCAGAGTGCACTGGTTGGATGTGCCCTCTCCTTTATCACATTCCCACCCTCTCCACTGCACCAATGCTGGCACCTAACAGACAGCCACCCCTGAAAAAAGGTGTGCAGTTTTAATTTGATGTCACACAAGCACCAGGCATGGTGTGGCAACCACTGCTGCACCAAAGGCTGCTGGTCTGAGCTCTGACAGCAGCCTAAGTTGCCAAAAGAGTGATTTTAACTCCAAGCTGTAAAATACCACCTGGAGCTACAGTAAATACGCACTGTGTGATGCCAACACGAACAATGCAGTGGACACTGCACTAAATTTAGTTCTTCTATTACTTTATTGCTGTTCTTCCTCCTCATAAAGCTCTGTGCACACCTAATGAGCCTGCATTTATTGAGTCAAATCATGTCAGAGCCCCACACTGCCTCTCACTGAATTGGAATTAATCCAACTAAGCACAGTGCAGACAACAAAAAGTGTTCCCACCTCTGCAGGCACAAGTGCCAGGTCCCAAACTGAGAGCTAAAATTGTCTGCATCACCATGTTTGAATTTTTTACCTTACAGGGCTTTTTCTTTTGCTTGAGTAGCTGTTGAGTAGCCATCCTGTGTTTCAAAAACCCACTTGTAACTAAACCCTGAAAAATAAAGAAGGTATGAGACACGCAGAAAACACAGTTACTGCTATTTCTCATCTATATTAAAATAAGAATGAGATTCCTCAGAGTTTGAAAGCTAATTGCCAGGCAGGACAGGTAAAGTAAAGCAAACCAAGGATACACCATGGCACTGAGCCTGCAGAGCATGAAAACTCCTGCTCACTGGTAAACGATCAATAGTATTTGAAATTCAGGGCCACAGCTGCACCTGGTGTCAGTTGGTGCCACTTCAGAATGCATTTCTCATATTCCAAACCACAAATGTTAATTCCTACAACCATTAGGAAGTGTGAAGGGGGAATGTGAAAGAACTGGAGGTCTGCCAGTAGCAGTTAATATTTTAGCAAGGGTAAGCAGGAAACGTGCTAACATCGGTCTTGGCTGGAATAAGGGAATGATTCTTCTGGGACACCTCGAAAGGTTAAAAAAAAAAAAGAAAAAAAAGAAGAGTCCAAATTGTTTCACTTACACAAGCCTGGATTGAAGAGGAAAATACTCATTTTACCAGAATGGAGAGCTGATTGATACAGGCAATAACGCTGGATATTCCACGTTTCTCACTTGAGTGAGGTGCTTGATTTAGCACCACCTGACAATCCTGATTAAAAATTTCCATTAGCTGGAATTAACAAGGCCTGCGTTAACTGGTTTGAAAAATGACTTGCTGGGAGATCTCCACATCTCATTGTTAATGGGGGATATTAATGAAAGGAAACACCACAATCAGCTCCCAGAGGGATGCTGCCATGTCCACAGCCAGTTGACTTCCCCAGTAACAATTAAAGTAATAGCACAAACACTGCGGGGTGATTTAACTCCTGACCTAATGCAGCCTTTTATTAACTCAGCTGATCCAACCTTGTTCAGCATTTGCACCTTTTGTGCTTTTCTTTTTCCTCTGGAAGCCTCATTTCCATTTGCTGGCAGTCATTAAGACATGTTGATTGGAACATGGTGACAGCTTTTATGCTAAATTTAGTGCTTCATTTAGTAATGAGGACAGATTACAGCTATAAAAGTATATTTAAACAAATACACACCTGCAAAATTTTTAACATGTTAAATATTTTAGCAAAGTAGCTTTTTTTTTTTACCCAGGCAGTGTGAGGACTGGAATGCAATCAAAGCAGACAAAGGTGTTGTAATTACAACATGAGGTTATTAACTAAATAAAGCTGATTTAGGCGAGACAAAAACGTAAGAAAACACGTTTTATAAACCATACCACATTTATATTGATTTACTGAGGAGGAAACATCACCCAGACCAAGCTGAGCCATTATGGGCCAGCTGTTCAGGTACAAGGTACAACACTGGCATCAGTGTCTCACCGGGGCTGGAAGGTCACAAGTTGCTCTGGAACTCCAACGATTCCCCACTCTACAGCCACCTTGGCACTGAATATCAGCAAGTTAGAACTTAAAAGGGAAAAAAACAAATCTCAACCTCAGGAATCTGCTGCTCTCCGACACCCTCAGCCCTGCACCCCTCACTCTGCCCTTTGTGCTTGATGTTGGAAAGGTGAGGCACCACAGCCCTTAAAAAAATAGCCATGGCTCCAAAGATGGGTTTACTCTTTTTTGGGGGAAGTTCCTGGGGGGGATTTATGAGTGGAAGCCCAGGCCAGGCCGGAGTCCACACGGGGCCGGGTCCTGCCCCTCACACGGCAGCATCGGGAGCAGCCCTTGAGACCCAAGGGGCGCGGCGGGGCCGAGGCGCGGGAGCCGCCAGGCGCTGAAGGAGCCCTGAGGCGCGAGGAACGGCCCAGAGGCAGACGGCGGTTCCCGTGGGGAACAGCAGGGGCTCCCTGAGGTACCTGGGGTCCCCTGAGGCGCTGGGGAGCGCTGTGAGGCACGGGCGGGTCCTCCTGAGGCACTGAGGGGTCCCTCAGGCGCTCCGGGCCCCCTGAGGCGCCGAAAGGAGCTCCCTAAGGAGCCCCTGAAGGACAGGAGTGTGTGTGTGTGTGAGGGGGGATCCTGAGATCCTCCTCAGGCGCGGGAGACCTGAGGGCGCTGAAGGCTCCCCTGAGGGCGCAG